GTATAGTAGTGAAAAGGGCAAAGCTGGAGAGCACATGAAGTAAGGTGAGAGACTAGTTAGAGGGAAGGACTTTAAAGGAGAAAGGCGATTAGATCAAATGGAGAAAATCTATGCGTCTGAGGAAGAAAGAGGGCCATTGCACGAGGAACAGTACAAAAGACCCATTATGAAGCAATCAGCGGATAAAAAAAAGAGTAGAAACAGGTGTCGATGAAGTAGCAGGAGAAGAACGCAGGGGGGGAGGTGAAGTGTCAGGAAGAATGCCAGGCGGGGAAGGATCAGAACGTCAGGGGGGGGGGGGAGGATCCATTGAAGGACACTCTTGTGACAGAAGGGGGTCACGTGAGCATCTTGGAGGGAGCGGAGAGGATAATGGGGAAAGAAGGGGGAATGGTGCAGATGGAGAAGGGGAGGAATGTGGGTAGATATAGCAGGTGTGTGTGTGTGTGTGTGTGTGTGTGTGTGTGTGTGTGTGTGTGTGTGTGTGTGTGTGTGTGTGTGTGTGTGTGTGTGTGTGTGTGGTTTACATATATATATATATATATATATATATATATATATATATATATATATATATATATATATATATATATATATATATATATTATGAAAAGGGAACATGTACACTTAAAATTTCCTTCCTTCAGTCAAATTCTGATTACCTTTTCATCTCATTTCGCTGTCAACAATAATCTACATTACAGCATTCAGCATAAAGTTTCTTTAACAGGATACATATATATCTCTTAACAAAGAAAAATATTGGACAGTGGGAACTCATCCTCCTAGTGGGCTTATCTAACTAGCACAAAGGTAAGTAATGATATAAATTAAGTAACTGTCACTTAGTGCTCAGTAAAGTAGTAGTAACTTGTTTAATATATTTGGTTCTTTAAAGCCTTATATATTTAAACTGTTTTTTAAGTCTTAAAATGCACTTTCTTATTCCAGTGCACAATCTTATGTTCTGCAAAGGGGGCTTTTACTGTTATTATTTATTTCTCTCTTTACCTAAGTGTATTTCCTCATTCTAATATTCTATAACCTAAGGTTTGTTCTATTAATTGTCCCTTTCACTTACTCAGATGTTGCTTAATGTGCCCCATCCTTATTCCTTCCACTGCTATAGACTACTTCTGTTTATATGGCAGAACTCATCTCCCTGCATGTATTAAGCAAGTTAAACTTGTCAATGCATATATGACTCATTGTGGGGATCAGTAAAACACAGAGTTGCTGCACTTTATATATTGAGAGGGATCTATGTGGCACTACAGAGGGTTGCTTACATTACAGATATAAACCTTAGCTTAGGTTAATGTGAGGTATACCATAGATACATGAAATAAAAGGATCCTTATAAACATCTTTGATTTGTCTAACACCCCCTCTTAATTAAAGATGGGTATGTGATCTGAGAATCTATCCCCTGAGACAATTAAAATTCAACTTCTTCTGGTTTACAGGTTTTGGAAATATATCAGCTGGATTCTGCTGTGTAGGAATATGAAATAACTTTACATTACCTTTCTCTACTTTATTTCTAATGAAATGGTAATGAATATCAATGTGCTTTGATCTTTGGTGATTTACTGAATTTTTGGCAAGATTAATAGCACCTTGGTTATCATTAAGTCTACAGATTTTAACTTATATCCTAATAGATCAGATACAATTTGTCTTAGGTACTTTGCTTCCTGAATGGAATAAGTAATGGCCATATACTCTGCTTCACAAGATGAAAGTACTTCTTACTTTTCCATGATATAAGTGGTCCATCTTTATGTAATTGAAAACAATATCCTATTATGCTTTTTCTGTCTTCAGATGATCCCTAGTCAGAATCACAAAATCCTTGGAGTTAAATTGGTTCATCTGACTTTCTAAATGCAAGACCATATGTCATGGTGCCCTTCAAGTACTTAAGAACATGCTTGGCAGAATTTGATTTGAGCTTTTGTGGGTTTTGACATATATTGTAAAAGTTTTGTAACTATATAGTACAAGTCTAGTCTAGTACTTTTAATTACATGTATGAGACTACCAACTATTTCTTTGTAAAGAGTTGCATTAATCAACTCATTAGATTCTACTGCTGAGGTGTTTACAATATTTGGATCACAGTGTATATTTCTTGCATAACAATGACATACTGAATCTCTCCAAAATCTTTTATACATATTTGGTTTGATTCACCTCAATGTAATTTTTACCTAAATCAGTCATTCTAAATTTTTGACAAAGAATTTTTTTACATCTGTTCTTCAGGGACATGTTACAACTGGCAATAATGAAGTCATCCACCCTTAAGAGCACAACAATATCACTGTCTCTATCATGCATCAGATATAGACAATGAAAACACTGTGATTGCTTGAAAACTTCTGAAATAAAGATATTATGGATTGCACTATTCCACATCCTGCCACTTTGTTTCAGACCATAAAGTGACTTTTCCAGTTTACACAACAAAACATTTCCATTACGATCTTTTTCCTAATAACTTCCAGGTTGTTCTACATAAATTTCATGATCAATATCAGCTTGCAAATAAGCTGTTTTAACATCCATTTGCTGTATTACCATATTTTTCTGTAAAGCCATATTGAACAAAGCATGAAATGTAGACATTCTTACTGTTGGTGCAAATGTGTCTCCATAGTGACATCTTTTGGTGAAGTACATTGCTTTGTATTCTTCCTTGCTGTTTGGTCCGGGTTTTACTTGATAGACCTATCTTCCACCTACTGCTGTATGTGACTCAGGCAGTGTAGTAAGGTCACAGGTGATGTCTGGAAGTGAAGAGATTTCCTCGTCCATTGCTTTCTTCCTCTGGGGTCCCTCTGGAGATGCAATGGTCTCTTGTTAGGTGCCTGGTATTGAGATATGTGACAATTGGTAGCAATGATGTATGAAGCTGTTATGTGTCACACTGGATATACTGTCATCCAGTTCACCAGTAATGCAGTCATGAGGGTTTCCGTCTTTCTCGAGTTGGATATCTTCTTTCTTCACTTGCACTATCTGGTGGCTCGTCTTGATTTCCTTGAAGTGATTTTTGCTGAAGTCTAGTCTCCACCAAGATGTCATCGTCATCTGAGGTTTTTTCGTCCTTTGGTGGTTCAGCTACATTTGATAAGTTTTCCATGAACTTAACACATCTTATTTTCTCTACTGTTTGAGATTCTGGGAAGTAAATCAAATGGGCTGGGCTCTGGTCACCATAGCCCACAAATATTCCTTTCTTGGTCCTGGAGTCAAGTTTCTTCTTCTCTTGTTCATATGCAAAACATCATACTCAAAAAATATTCATTCTGCTGATGTTTGGCTGTTTTCCAGTAAGTATTTCTACCAGAGTCTTCTTTGTTCTGGGACTATAGCACCTATTCCTGAAGTAACAAGCAGCCTTCACAGCATAACCCCACATATCTTTGGGTAATTTGGACTATCAGTAAACATCAAACCTTGTCAAAAACTGATTTGTGTGATTTATTTACTTTTTTAAACTCACCACCTTTATATCATTTTGATGCAAAATGGCCTGGTTCACCATACTTAAAGCATTTCTGTTTAACTGTACTATTGCCATGGGCAACCATTTCTCTTTCTGTATCAGAATTTTCTGAGGTGATCTTCATGACCCAATTTTTCTAAGGTGATCTTCATGACCTAATAAGGCTGTCATTAATTCAATGTAATCATATGGTTAATGGTTAATGGTTAAAAGCAAGATAAATGTGCTAGACATCTAAGGTCATGTAGCACTATAGTTAATGTTAATGAAAGGTGTTTGAGTTAGTGGTTAGTTGTCTAGGCTGGGCAAAGGAATGGTGAGTTAAAGGGGTAAGGTCGGGTGTTAGATCAGATAAAGGATATGTATGCGTTTGAGCAAAGAGAACAGGTGTGATGCAGAAAGTGTGGCTTCTGTAAGGATGTCTGATCAGGTTGGGATGGTCGG